GGAAAGAGCGCCACACATCCCTGTAAACATAAACCCTCATCGCCCCGACGGTGAGAGCATACACCCGGAGGTGAAACTTCCTGTTTCCCATGCTAGGGAGGAGCAAAGGGGGGTGGATGTACGGTTGGGCGATGAAGTGCCTCAGATGGCTCGTCATGATCCCAAAACCCTCCTCGGGGGGCCCCTCACCACCCCCTTCCTCCCCCTCGTCATCAGACTCGGGCTCCCACCCATCAAAAATCCCCTGCAGCTCCTCCATCGTGCTAAACAGCCTGATCCCCTGCCCCCTATCACTCATCCCCGGCTTCAAAATCCACCACTCCCTCTCCTCTTCTTCCTCCTTCTCCGCGTTCCTCTCCATACTCTCGTTCAAATCCCACGCTTCAACCAAGGCATCGTCCAAAAACTCGGCAAAATCAACCTCAAACGCCTCAGATCTCTTGACATGATCCTTTAGCACCGAGTCCGGGTTCTTGACGAGATAGTTCTCCACTGTCTTGGCCAGGTAATGCTTCCTGATGAGCGCCTTGCGGATCATGTAACTATTAACAAGAGAAGTGGCAGGGTGGGAGGAGATGTAGTCAAAATCAAGAGATTCATATGGCATAATCTGCAGGACTTTGGCCTCGGGAAAAGGAAGCAGCGAAGGGAGGGAGATGTCCGGGTTGGTGTTGGCGTCCCAGGTGGACGGGGTGGGGAGGTATGTCAGTGACCCCTCTGGGAGGAGGGAGGAGAGGGCCGAGGTGATGAGTGGTTGGACGTAGGTGTCGCCGTAGTTGACGAGGGCGTAGACTGGCGGTTTGGCGTCCTCGGGGGGGTGGATCGGGAGAGTTGTCGTCGTCGTCGTCGCCGTCGCCGTCGTCGTGGCTGGGGCATCCTCGGTTTTGGTCGACTCTGCCTCAGTCTTGGTGTTGTTGGTTGACTCCTGCTCATTGGCGGCGGTGACACCAAAAGTTGAGCTTCTAGATGGACCCCTGAACAAAAGAAATGGTAAGAATATAGTCTTTTACGAAAACTCCAAAGCAAAGCAAAGGACAGAGCGGTTGGTTTGGGTCTTTTCTATTTTGGATAGAATGCCTCTATGCTCTATCTGATCATCATTATGGCGTTGTGTTTGGCGTGTAATCATCCCTCATTTGCTGCCGTACTGTTCATATCCGACTCTTCATCTGTCCTGTCTCTTTCTCTTTTCTCTGTCTCTTTCTTTTGCGTGCTTCAACAAACCAGGGTATGTTCACTTACAGTTGCAACTCTCCGCCATGAAGGTGGGTAGCAGCCTGGAAGAAGTTGGCTTTCAGGGGCGTAATACTATCATCATCAAAGTTAGCTTTCCATCCACACCCATCACAACTCATCAACTCCAAAAAAAAAAAAAAAAAAAAAAAAAAAAAAAAAAAAACCATACCTCGTATGCCCCTCCTTAACAGCCCACCCATCATTCCCCGGCCCCGCCTCATCCACACTCTTGTAAACATCCGTAAACCTCGGACTCCACTTGAAATGCTTATGCGTATGCACCCCCCCCTTCACCAACATCCCCCCTTCCTCCCCCTCCTTCTCAGGACTCTTCTCCCCCTCTCTAATCCTCTCCTCATCCTCCACCTCCCCATCCACACTCCCATCCACCTCGGTAAAACAACTCCCCTCCCCCCAATAATTCTGCAACATCCCCGTCCAGAGCACCGTCCCCCCCTCAAACCCCTCCACCAACGGCACATTAACACTATACAAATCCACACTCCCATCCTCCGGCCACTGCTTCCAAAGCGCCTCAATCACCCTCACACTTTGCCTCGACGCCTTCAAAATAATCTCCGTATCATGATTCCTCGTGAAAAAGGCATAACTCAACGCCACCGCCCTGCGCTTACAAACCGCCGCCTCCAACGCTCCCCCCAACGTCCCACTGCTCAACGCAAAAACAGCCGTGGAGTTCCTCCCGTAGTTCGGTCCCGAAACCACCAAATCCACCGGACCGCGGTCTTGAAAAAAGTGGTACAGCCCAATCTGGACGCACGACGCAGGCGTCCCGTCGACGAGGATCCACTCCTCCGTCCCAGGGACGGACGACGGTCTCGTGTGCGTGGTGCCGTGGCTGTCGTTCCGTTCGTCCTCGTGGACCAACCCCGCGGCCGGCTCGGAGAGGGGGGGGGGCCGGTAGTAGAGCGGCTTGACGGTCTGGCCGATCATGTGCGCTTTGCCTATCCATGAGCGTTGCGTGTGCGGGAGGCAGACGCTGACAGTGTGTCCGTAGTCCTGGAGGGTTCGGACAAGGGAGTGGACGTAGGGGGACGAGTGAGGGGAGGGAGGCCCGTCGTCGTTGGTGACTAGGATGTGCATTTTTCTTTGCTTGCTTGTTTGCTATCGTCGAAACTCGAGATTGATGTTGAGGGGTTACAAACGGGAAACGAGCAAGAGGGGCAGAGAGATGACAAGCAGTATATAGTTCTGTTGATAAGAAAAGCCCAGTAAAAAAAAAAAAGTTAACAAAAAGAAGAAAAGAAACTCGGCCTTTTATCTAATGGTTTGTCAGGTTTACTTAACAGCAACACGAAAGCTGCCCCTCCATTGACGTTTTTTTTTAGCCCGGTCATGTCGGGTCGACTGGGCAGCGTTGTTCGTTGACAAGCCCAAGGAGAAGTGCGGGGGTGGGGTCACTCATAATCGATTACGCCGGAGTGGGGATCAAAGTCAAGTCGAGTGAGTTCAAGTGACAACAACAAAAATGTTCTTGATTGGCTTGCCTGTGTTTCTGTTGCTGTGCTTCAACTAATCTACAAATATTGACGTAGCGCATTCCCAGCTACCCGATTCTTCCTAATTCTGACATGACCCAACAATCAATCAATCCCATCCATCCCTTCATAGACTCCTCATGTCCCACGATTAGACAAGCCCAAAACCCTCAAGTGTGATAACAACCAAGTGTGTTCAAGGACTCCCCCCCATCCCCTTTCGATACCCTTGCGTACTGGTGTCATCAAGGTTATCCCCGTCGTCGTCGTGAAGAAAGGACAGGAAACAAAAAGAAAAAAAAAGGAAAAAAAAAAGAAACGAAAAAAAGGGCAATAAAACTCTTATGTCGTGAGCTCAATATGGCTTCACAACCCAGCTGAAGAATAATAACGAGAATGTAGAATGCATGCTGTTAACCTATGCCGAAAAGAAAGAACCCAAAACAAGATAACCCGTAATTGCATTTGCCAAACTCCGAACCAATGTCGCCAAACTTTGTCGTCGAATATCAGATGGGAGTTTTTTCTGCCGAAAACCTGCGCCAACAACACCTAAGCCAAATCAAATCCTAGCACGCTTTGATGGGCCGGCCACAGGCAGAGGCTCTGCAGACCGTTTCTGGCTGGTGGTTGTGGGGGAAACGCCAGCCTTGGTTTGACGCCAGCCCTTAATTGTGGCTTGCTTGCTGGCTTGCTTGCCCCTCGACGCCGCTGTTGGTGTGGCCTTCTTGCGAGTGGCACGCACTGTGGTGGGCGGCGAGGCTGGAGCAAAACGCGGGGCCTCGGGCGTACCGGGAACCTTCTCGACTGCTTCGGCTGGGGTGATTGGGAGAGTTTGGGCGGCTTCCTCAACCACGTGGTCCTCGATGTCGGTCTCCGCCTCTTCATCTTCAATCGAGATGGCGGGCACATCGGGCTTGGCAACAGGGAAGAGGAGTCTGGGCTTGACACTGGCGCGGGTGAGTCTTCTCACGGGCGCCTCGACAGCACTTTCCAAACCACCCTCGATATTCTCTGAGGCGCGCTTCTTGAAGAGGTGGAATTGCTTCTTGCCACGGCTGTTTCTTGTGTTAGCCGAGTGCACTGATGAAAACACAAACAGGGAGCGACGACTTACAATACGGTGACCAAACCATCCTCGCGCTGAATGGCCTCTTCAATTGTGATCTGGCCTTCGCCGGGAACACTGACCATCTGGCGCTGGCTGCGGCGAGGAGCCGAGGGGGCAGCGGCCCTTGAGGGCTCGACATAGAAGGGGTTGTCAATGCTGCGGTCGACCTCGGGAATGCGCTCATGCGAGTCGACGTGGATATGGAACGACTCATCCGAGCCTTGCTCAGTGAAGCTGTCCAAGGTGTGGGCCTGGGTGCGGGCCCTTCTAGGGGAGGGCATGACCTCATCCTCGGCGCGGAACAGGGTGCGGGCAAACGCTTCCACCTTGGCCTTGGACTCCTCGGTAGGAGGCTTCTGGGGGGTCTTGGCGGGGGTGATTAGCATCCCGGTGCTGCTGCTGGCGACAGTGGTGCGAGGCGCAAGAAGGCCGGCTGACTTCTTGGTGAAGCCAAGGGCAGAGGCGGCATCGGAAACACTGGCGGCGGTGAGGGTGCGACGAGGAGAATCCATGGCGGCGATGCGCTTCTTTTGAAGGGAAAGGCTTGGTGTGCCCATGGTCGACTTCTTCTTTTGGTTGATTGACTTGGGAGAACCCTCTGAAGTTTCCTCGGGCCGGTCGGAATGTTGCTGATGTTGGCGACGCGATGATGGAACTCTGGGAGAGGGAGTTCGGTTGGCAGCGCGGTTGGCAATACGGGATGACTTGCGAGGAGTGTAAGGCTCGTAGGAGTCGGAGTAGCCCAGGTGAGGGGCAGGAGGAGTTCTGACTCTGGAGCTGGGAGAAGGAGTCGCCGGGTAGGGTGGCTCCATGATTTCCGCCATTGTTCGATTGCTTTGAATAGAGAGACAGACGTCAATTGAATTGGCAGTGGGGAGCAGGTGACTATTGTCGTTGTTGTTGTTGTTATTGTGAGGGCGCAGAATGGAGTGGGCGCGAAGTGAGGGTGCTCCCAGGCGGGATGAAAATGCGTGGTCGGCGGCGGGTGGTGGTACGGATCAAAGAGAGTCGCAAGAGCCCAAGAGTCGCAAGGTGAGAGGTTGGACGGCGAGGTGAGGTTGCGTGACAGCGACAGCGATGTTCAAATCAACAAATCGCGCAAGGTAGCAGGTGATCGTGTTGATGTTGACAAGTCAAACAAGCGACTCGCACCGGGGCAACAAACACAGCAACTCCTAGGATTCCCTAGTAAAATAAAATATGGGAGGGTTATGGAGGAGGACTGAAGCGTTTGGCAAGTCTCAGGGTTTGACACGATTGGAAAATTGTGATGCTGGATGGAGAGGTTGGAGCAGGAAAACGGGCGGATGCAAAGAAGGGGCTGGGACAAGTGGGACTGGGAGCCCTTGATGAGGATTGATTGGACAATAATCTCCATCCCATCCCTGTCCTCTCTCTTAAGACGCGCTCTCGACGTGTCAGTCTCGCGTTTTTTGCAGCCCTGCCTGCCCAATGGAACCCCAACGGCCAGCCCCCCACCACTTTGGCTAGCCAATACCGCTGTAACAGCGCATTTGTGGGGTGGTCGAACTGGACCTGCAGCAAAAACATCAACGTCATCCCATGAGCCTTACCAGAATCAGACCTGCCCGCCGTCAATCACTATCAAAGCCGAGACATAGTCCAGCCTTACGGATGCCACACGCTGAAATAGAGACATACAATTGACAGCCTCAGCCTTGTCCACCACACCACAACCACCACCACCACCATCACCACCACAAGAACATACAACCCCACACAAACCAAACATCACCATGCCCCTCCCTCACCGCTATCCCTCCTTCCCCCAAACAACCCCCCTC